TGCTAGTTCTGTTTTTCCATCGAGTTATAGAAACACGATTTTTAACCAATCAGCACGCGTATTTTCTTAGTACTGTTTTCTAAATTCTTATAAAAAAGAAAGAGTGTACAACGCGTGTCCACAACGCTTTATTTGAGAGAAATGATTTACTAAGTCATTCCAATTAAGAAATACACACACAGATGCAATCATAGCAAAGAAGTAGCTCCAGAAATTGAACATGAAATATGTAATTGTAAGTGAGGTTTTATTCGTCTCAGGCCTTTCCGTATGCGCTTGATTTAGTCGATGTATTGAACTGTTCCCTTATTGTAGTAGACTGGGTGATGAGAACTGAATTAACTAAACTAGCCTTTTGAGGAACTAGGCATCCGAAAATTTTATTTGCTTTAATAAACGGTATTATTTTGCAAAGGTACCTCTTGCAATAAAGGCGTTCGTTTATTTTGTGTTTCGTATGTAAACTAATTGTAAATAATTGCATAGACGGCTTAATATATTGACCTATTAGACGGCCGTAACGCCATAGTCGTTACAAAGAAGTGTATATTTATAGTCGTTACAAAGAAGTGTCGATTTAAAGTCAACTGCATGGATCGAAAACGCATAGAAGACTCATAAAAACACAGAAAAGTCAAGTATTAACATTTTCACTCCACGGGTTAGAACAGTGCTAGAATGGTTAAAATTATTTCTTGATAATTGCAAATATTCTTATAAAATGAGTGAATTATCTTATTATATTAACAAGGAAGCATCTAGCGCTTTTGTTTGTTAATAGTCTCCCCTTACCTGTTGTTCTCTTGACAGCTTGGTCCTTTTTAATATCCACTGTTGAAGTTATTTCCCTAGAGAATACCGATAATTCTGTTTCACTTCTTTAGTAAGATCGTCTAAGAAGTTTACCCGCTACGATTAATTTTGCTTGATATTTAAAACAATGGGCTCGGAACGAAACTGTTTGGTGGCGCGCAATTATAATACACGAGAATACATGTCTGAATGAATTAAATACAATATACATAAGTGACATTACAGTGGCACATTTCTTTGTCATAACACTGGGTGAAAAGGGAATCTTACCATTGTTGAAATATTGTCGTATATACTATTCATGTTCATAATTTCTACCCTCATTAAGAGTTAACTAAATCAACATTGTTCTTAAACTGCATTTAGTGCCACCTTTCAAAAAATATAGTTGATAATTGCGATAGTACCAATCAGCTCAAAGAAACCCGGAACATACACAGTATTTTCTCTAGCTGGTTGCAAATTGATAATCTTCATTATGTAACATGACAAATACTGACTGGCAAATATTGTCTCAACTTGGATTTAACACGCTACAAGTACTTTCCAATTCCGTCGTCTATTCCTTCCAATTAAATTGACATGTGAGGTTTACGCGCTGATTTCAGAATCAGTAAAGGTAAGTCTCCAGTGCGGACATGTTGGACTTCATAAGTCATTCATGATGGATGTTATAGTCACAAATGGATGTTTGGACAGGGGCATTCAAATTCCTCTTCAAACAAACTGACTGATCATGTCTTGATGTCTGGAGGATCGTACTAATGATGCGATCGCGTTAAAACTGTAGATCATGACTGTACAGTGTCTGAAGAACGAGCGATCGGATTCCCACCAAGTTAAATGATCTTGTCTAAAGGTGCACTATTTTGATTTGGATAGTTCCAGCTCGTCGGGTCAAGCGACCACCCAAGTTCCAGAGAATAGCAAATGGACAGAAGTAGGAGAGTATTAGGGTCTCCACAGACTAGACACTTAGTTTTCGACAACTATTTGTTATCGCCAATTAAAAAACGTAGTGTGTGAGATGAGTTGTCGACAACTTAACGGTAAATAACACACATTTTAGCATGTGTTTTGAGCATGCGAAGTAAACGTTAGCTCCCAAACACTCAGAGGTGGGACATAGTTATCCACAACTAACACTCCGTGCCCAATGTGTGGAATGCTTGCATTGGACACAATTAGTTGTCGATAACATTTAGTTTTCGACAATTAAGTGACTAGTCCGTGGTGGCCCTTAGATCACAGTGATATGCATCGTTAAAATAAGAGAAACATGAAATATATTGAATCTGGCTATCAAACGTCTCTTCAGATAAACGCTAAAATTGGTTTATAACTCTTTATTTATAACATTTAAATTTTGTTTAATTAACAAATTAATTGTTCTAAAAAAAAGCAATCCCAACCGTTTTACATTAAATTCCTTTATGATTATTTCCTCTTAACGATAATAACGATGATGATGACCGCGCCAGTAGACACGCATGTCTTTTCTTTGAAGCTGACGTAAATAAGCTAAAGCAATAGTTTTGTTCTTGTTAAATACGTTATATAGCAGATTTCATTATAGAGTAGTCCATCGTGTAAGGATTTGATTAGACATCAAGGTGTCAACTACATCAGTTGCAGTTTCTGCCGCTTTATTCTGCAAGATAAAAATCATTTTGTGTCAGTTAGTACTTTGTTATAGAACTAAATCCATACAATTATATACATTACTAAGAGTAATTGGACCTAGTGGAGTACAATTCAGGGAGTAATCGCGTGAGTAATTTCAAAATCGGACGAGCGCGCAGCGCGAGGTCGATTTGAAATTAACGAGCACGATTTCTCCCTAAATTGTACGACACAAGGTCCTATTACTAATTAATCGTATCAATAACAACTTTCGAGATAAAAATGTCTTTTGAGAACTTCTTTGAGAGAAAAAGTCGGTGGTATTTTCCATAAGTTGTAAAAGCTGTAGAGAGCATTAAGAAGGAGGCCATTGAAGCCCGCGTAATTGACGTGCGAATCACGGGGATATCCAATTACAGGTGTCCAATTACAACAAGTCGAAATTGAATACCTGTAATTGGACACCCACGTGATCGCTTGCCGATTACGTGACAAACAGGCGCGCGAAGAACCAATCACGATCGAGAATTTTGTTATCGATACGATTATTATTTTAGGACCTTTAGCGGCAACGTAGATTGATCATTCCAGTCAGTCGAACAGCCAGTCGGTCAGTAAGTCAGCCAGTCAGTCGTATTTCTTAGAAACTTTCCTGTTTTGAAACTTCCGGAAGTCCTTGATAGGATAGAAAGCATCCCTTAAGAATCTATCTACTTGCCCCTGGGATTAAGAAAGGATGAAGGGGTAAGAGAAATGTTTCCCCATATGAAGCTTATTCTCAAGGTAATTCCAGTCAAGTTATATTAAGACATGGTAGCCAGTTCTTTAACGGTAAACGTTACCACGCGCGTTATGTCAATGTTTTTCTTTTGTGGATGATGAAGACGAGTGTAAAGCAGTTTGGGCTGTCACGTGTGTAGAATCCTTGTCACAGGATTGGCTACATCTAGACCATCCTGAAATTTCAGAAACCTGCAGAAGTGTTCTAAAAATAACTTGAGAAAGATGTGACTTTGGGAATAACGGGAATTAACTACTTTACTCTTCATCCTCTCTTCCTTGGAACGTA